ATGTAAAGCTTCAGGAGTTTGGTACAATTGCTTTGAAGAATTTCTCAACAAGACTCATAATAATTCTCATAGCCCAATTATGTATGACAATATGCTAAGTCGTGGGGTAGGAAAGCCATAAGTCTTGAAACCAGACGAGCTTTGGTGTTTGACATCTTAGTTGTGCCAGTTTAATGTAATTGGGCAATGACCCGAATAAATAAGAAGGTGCTTGGTGGTAGCTAGAGGAATGCACTGGAGTGCTTTGGAGTTAACAAGAATACGATCGTGCTAGGCCCAAATCTTACTCGCGTCATCCTTGTTATTGCTCCATGTAAACCTCAGGCCCACAAAGCTAAGATCATGAAGGTCATTCATGGCCATAAAGTCCAGAATATCTTGCAAACTTTTAGTGAAAGTAAAAGGCTTCCCCCTTTCTTATCTTCTTAATTGGTGATGGAATCGAAGTTTCCACCAATAATGGTGGGAGAGCTATCCTTGGACCTCAAAGTGAGATTACTTCATAAGTCAGTGAGATTACCACATTTTGTTCTTGCTCCAATAATGTAAAGCTTCAGGATTCTGGTACACTTGCTTTGAAGAATGTCTGAACAAGACTCATAATAATTCTCATAGCCCAATTATGTATGACAATATGCCAAGTCGTGGGGTAGGAAAGCCATAAGTCTTGAAACCAGACGAGCTTTGGTGTTTGACATCTTAGTTGTGCCAGTTTAATGCAATTGGGCAATGGCCCGAAGAAATATGAAGGTGTTTGGTGGTAGCTAGAGGAATGCGCTGGAGTGCTTTGGAGTTAACAAGAATACGATCGTGCTGGGCCCAAATCTTACTCGCGTCATCCTTGTTATTGCTCCATGTAAACCTCAGGCCCACAAAGCTAAGATCATGAAGGTCATTCATGGCCATAAAGTCCAGAATATCTTGCAAACTTTTAGTGAAAGTAAAAGGCTTCCCCCTTTCTTATCTTCTTAATTGGTGATGGAATCGAAGTTTCCACCAATAATGGTGGGAGAGCTGTCCTTGGACCTCAAAGTAAGATTACTTCATAAGTCGGTGCAAGCATGACTATCAAAGCTAGCATAAATTCTGTAAATGGCTCACTTGTAATTATCTGGAAACTTGACACTACTCGCTTAGCGCTAACAACAAAGGATAAAAGTTCTCTCCACCACAAAACGAAGATCCCCCCGATTTTCTCGTTGAGGGTTGAAAGCTGTTGTCCCACTTGTTACCAACCAATTTATCAGGCTTTTTGCGGTCAAAGTTCTCTTCTCTTGCTTCCACCAACTTAATGAAAGAGGGTTGTGATTGCCAATGAGGTCTTGATGTAGTGATTTGTGGCATGCTTACTGACACCCCCCTCCCTCGACAATTTCAAAATAGAATTGTTGACATTATTTCATCAAAGGGGGTGCACCCCTCTGTCCGTAGCTTGATTCGCCGCCTGGTACTGCCCTGATGCCTTCTTTCATTTTCTTCGCTGCCCCTCTGAAGAACCCAATGGGAGTAGCTCTTTTTCAAAATGGAAGTTAGAGAGCCTTTCATTGGGTGTCTTCCCCAAATGCCCCTGCTGACAAGTGGAAACTAGTGGAAATTTTGCCATACTTGCATGAAATTGCAAAGGAACCTGCGGGGGATTAACAATAATTTCAGTTTCCATTGTGGAGTTGAATTTAAAGACTTCCTACGGTTTGACTTTCAATGTGTGGTTTACTCGAGTAGTTTTCTAGTTGGTGATGGACTCTTCCTTATTTTTAAAGATTTCTTGCTGCTTTCGCAAAGCTCTCGTGGCCTAGTTATTTGAAAGCTTCTTTTTTGTTTCTCACCACAAGGGTCCAGGGCCCAAGATCACCCAATTCAACATTTTGTGGGTCTTGATTCAAGTTACCATCTTTCACGGTATTTTCCAATTGTTTTTGATGAATAGTGGCTTATGTCGGCAAACTCTGCATGTTGTTTGTGCCCACTGTGGCTGACCCATCGAGCCTTGACATTGTTCCCTCTATCCCAGTAGATATGGGGCCTAAGTTTGCCCTCTGAGACACATCTCCAGTGCCCAGTGTAGCAGCAATGGCTAAAGAATTGGGATACGAACCCCCGACCCAAGGGTTACGCCAAGGCCACTACCAATGAGCCCTGACCGAGGGGCAGACCTTCCTTCCAGTCCAGGTGCTATTTGAATCCTCCTGAAAGGGTTGGGATGCAAACCCGCGACCCAAGGGTTACACCAAGGCCACTACCAATGACCCAAGGCTCACGTGTGCGCTCACACACACGTGCACCCACACACACATACATATATTAATTAAAAAGGAATGGTCGAAGACTATTAGACGAGCCCTGACCATTCTTTGGTGTGCTAAATATTTGAGTACCACACCCTACACGGGGGATTAGATGACACATACATATACATACATACATATATATATATAGTCTCTGGCCAATATTTCTCAAAAAAATAAAAATTAAAAAATAAATATTGGTGTGATATTATATTCTTAAGTAATAAATTATGATATACATCTTTTAACTTGAAAAAAAAAAAAAAAAAAAAAAACGAAAAACACCTTTGGAAATGATGAGTGGGTTTGTAATGCAAATCTTCAGAAAAATATATCAAGCGTGACATCTCATAAAATTAGAATATTCTTCTTTTGAAATCTAAAGTACATATAGGATATGTTGATTCAAAGTTAGCCTATATGGCCCATATGCCCTACGCTTTTCCTGTGCGCTCAAAGGCACGCGCTGAGTGCTGTAAAGTTCGTGCTTCACTCACATGGCGTTGACATATAATATACAGAGGAGGGGGAGCTCCCTCTCTCTACCCAGAGCTGTGGAAGCTCCTTCGCCGTTCAGCTTGCTGCTTATTAAAGCGCATTGCATGTGCGCTCTTTCTGCTTTCTCTTCTTCAGATCCTCTCTCTCGTATCTGACCTCCCTTATTCTTGGAGATTCTGTTTGCCACATGCCAACCTCATGTTGTATATGCGAACATGTCATGTCATTTTTATGCATTTATATATCTAAACCCTATGCTTTTGTATTTACATTTATAACCCTCGTGTCATAAAACTTTGCTACAGAGGGCGTATTCGCTTTTTAAAAAGTTAAAATTTCTCTAGCCACCTCTAATGTGCCTCACAATTCGAGTAATATATTCTTAAGATCAACTGTGTCAAAGGAGATTCAAAACCTCGACCTGAGGGGTTTTATACCGTGAATGCCAACCAACAGGTCGGATTACGTAGTATATATATCTAAGTAGTTGATAGCTATAAGATGAGCATTCTTTGAAGGTTGCATGGCTAGTATTTAAGACACCTTTTTGGATACTAAAGTGAACATTATATTAGATGCTTGACAATAACTACATGTTACCCTAATGAATGTCGGAGGGTTTTATTATTATTATGCGGATTAAAGGAATTAGCTTAATGTGGGACAGTTGATGCCTACATATTTCAACTAAGCTTATGTATTTACACACATACAACTCAATACTTACGTATTTACTTATATAACAACTAAACTTTGCATTTTTACATTTACGCCGCCCAAAATTTTAATTTCACATAAAAAAAACCCCCCATTTAAGCAAAATATATCTTT